CCAGACTTCCTTCCTATAAAAGGAAGGTTCCAATTGGAGTCAGCATCAACATTTCTCCTAAGAGGAAATTCAAAGTGAATTTGGCATTTGCCCCCGTCAATTCATCTGAGGAATTGTGAAATACTTTGATTTTTATTGTGTTTATTTTATAGTAGGTGAGATGATAATCCATCCCTAGCTGATACGGACCGCAAATCTGTGATGCCGTGCTTATACTGACCAAACCCAGTGGCAAATTAGTAATGTTTTGGAGTCACTGCTGAATTCAACAGCAGTGGCAAGAGTAGAACCCTTGAGTCTCTGGGTGGTCAAAATGGTCTCTGGACCCTCCCATAGGCCACATTACTGTGGCTTCCACTGAATTTGGTTTGAGCAAAAGCGTGTCATTTGACCATCCTTTTAAAGCTAAATTTGACCGTTTTCTCCTCTGTGGCATAAATTCAGGCGCAAACTGAATTCAGTGGCAGTGGTGTGGAAGGTGGGAACCAGGGATCACGTTGGCCACATTGGCCCAAGGACTGCACGTTGTCCATCCCTGACTTGAATCCTGGTAAGACCCTGTCATTTCTTGCTCTTGGCTTTGCAGTTGCTTCTTGTATCACGCATCTGATTTTCACCACTACCTCTGCTTTTCTGGATGTTAAGAAATGATTATTGGCAAAGCAGTGGATGGCCGGGATAGTCGTGGGCTTGGTGATTATGTCCTGTGAGAAACAGTTGAAATTGCTGGTTTTGTTCTACCTGGACAGGAGCACTTTGTGGAGACGTGTCATGATAGATGTCTTCAAGTACCTGAAGATGGAGCTGGCAAGCTCTCTGTTGCAGGACTGGAGCCAACTGGGGATAATTGCAGGGAAGTACTGTTGGGTTAGACATTAGGAGAAACTTCTAATGGAAAGAGCTATTTCACAGTGGAACAAACTGTGCTTCACTGGAGACAGTTAAGTGGGATCTGGGTGGCCATCCCTTGTAGATACTGTATTTGCATCCTGCTTCGAAGTCCCAGCGTAGAACACGAGGTTGAACTGGATGACTTTCAGAAGCCTTCTCCCTTCCCAGTCTACAATTGTATGAGTCTTGGAATATAGAACAGCAAATAAGGTCACGAAAAATGTCACATTTTCCATTTTTTTCATACAGAATGGTGAGAAATCTTGGAAGTATCCAGATACCTGAATGCAATTATCTCCTGGCAAAGAATATTTTTCTCATACTTTTCTCAGTATAGTGTCTGATTAGGGGCAATACAGCTAACAACTTTAAATTAAAAGCTACAGAGAATTCATTTACTTTTTGCACCTCTTTTTTCTGAATGAAGGCTTGCCTTCAGGGCAAGAATGAGAATCTCTGTTATTACTGGTATATTGACTTAGATGCTGGAAATGCTGCAAGCTTTTGGTTCCACTGCAGGCTCCAGAGATAACAGGACATATTTTCCTTATGAGCAGCAATAGTCAATAGTCAGTGTCAGCATCGTGCATAGCAAAGCTAGGACCCTTATTTGATCTGTGGTCATTCCAGACACTGCCATTTGCCTGAAATCATAGCTGTAGTCCTCTGGCTCTTCCTTTCTCATGGGAAACAGTAGCAATCGCAATAGCAATTGCAATAATATGGGCTTTTTCTCCATTCATACTTTGGAATGTCTACATTCAAGATACCTCTCCAGCCTAGGCCAAATCAATCATATTTCTCCTGTTTCTCTGCCTAAAGCAAATCTTTGAGACTGTGTCATCCCTGTGCTTTTCTATGATGTCTAAAATGGATCTTCATCATATTTAGGCACTCTGATTAAGTGTGCATTTTCCCCGAGGCCAGCCTTCTTCCTTCTCTTCCACTGGCCTAATAGAAGTTCTGATGAAGGGCTGTATTAGGTACCCTACCAGGGAGCTGCATAAAATCCTGGCAATCAACCAGTTAATTTACCTGCAGAACCCGAATTCCATTGGCAAGGGATAGCACAAATCTCTTCCTCTGAGTTTCAAAGTTAAGACAGCTAAGAACATGAAGCAATGCGTTCCTGGGGGTTCTCGAGAGACTGCCCAGTGTTAGGCATGCATACCAAAATTGTTTTTATCTCTCAGATTCCCAATAGACCTCATTTATCCATGTGTGGACAGTGCAAGCACTTACAGCCAAGGCAATAAAGCAGACTAACTGATTTAAGAACTGTATGTGATGGAGTTAGCTCTGAGTTTGGTGCATGGCTTTGCAGCAAGTCTTTCAGGGAGGATGGGGAGGAGAGGAGAGGGCAGGGGAGGGATCCAGCTGAGAGGGCTGAGGAGAAAATAGCCAGAGGAAGGGGCAGGAGAAAGGGAAGCTGTAACTGTCTCCTGTTACTGATACATCCGGAGTGCACCAACTTGGGAAAGGCTGCTCTTAGCAACAGAGCAGCCTCCTTATCTCGGTGGCTGCTAGATGACCCTTGTCGCCTGGTCCTTCCCAGAAAGACATGCCGCACAGAAGGCACCAGACATCCAGCATATTCCGTCTCATGCCGTGAGATTCAATGTGACTCTTAATCAGCCCATGCAGTCCCGCAGCCTATTGAACAGCAGCCTCCCCAGAGCGAGTGTCGTCCCGATGGTCTGGACTATGGTGCTGTAGTGCGATGCACATGGAGGCTTCAGGCTGACAGAGCATGCGGCATGGTCTCTTGCTGTCCTTCATGGAATAATAAGCATGGGGCAGGGCAATTGGGTTGGCAGCAGTGATGGCAAGGAAAGGTTTCATCCTTCTCTTCCTACCCATGATATATACAACTGTAACCCACATCTTGGCACTGGCAGGTAGCAATAGGACAGGCAGTCCACATTACAAGGGGTTTCCGTTCCTAAGAAGATGGAAATTCATCTTTAAGTCAGATTTGTATGTAAGTTGTCATATAGCTGGCCATCCACATTTGCAGGGGTTAGGGCTCAGGACCCTCATGAAACTGAAAAAACCACAAATATCTCTACCAACCCCCAAATCACCAGAGCCTCCTCTTTGCAGTAAGGAAATGCTGGAGGGATTTTATTCTCTGGAAGGGTGGAGCAGGAAGGCCTGCTTTGGAAGCTTCCCTCTTTCCCTTTCCCTTTCTCTTTATGGTGATTTGCTGGAGGTCTTCCCTCTCCCCCTCACATCCTCTCTATGGTGATGACGATTTTCTGTAGTAATTTTTAAAAACTGATAGGCTTTAGGGTAGTTTGTTCTTAAGTATTGTTATTTGTTCTTAAGTATGGGTTATTCATAACTTGGGGACTGCCTGTGAACCCCAAATATTCCATGGATGCCACAGTTCAGTTCCTGGTTCATGTTCCTAACCCTAGTACTCTACTGAAAAGTAACTAACCCTTACAGTTTTCACTGCAAAATCCTTAAGAAACAGTGACTTCTCACAACAAATGTGGCAACAGTTTGTGGTATGGTGCACAACCAAAGTTGCCAGTTAGAAGGCTCCATAGACCCCCAACCTCTCTGTGATTTCGGCGAATGGGGCGGCATAAAAATGTTTTAATAAATAAATAAAAAAATAAATAAATTTGGCTGACCCCAGAGTATGGTGTCCCATCCTGGCAGTGTTTTAGAGCGCTCACCCTCCATCCACACATTTTATTTCACTTGCCAAGGTCAGAACCAATGAAGAAAACCAAGTGATTAATCTGAGAGCGAGACAGACATGGGCTGCAAGAGCACACACTGTGTTCATTTTCAGAGTCTTTTGAAACTCAGACCCTCCTGCTGTGTCTCAGCAGTAAAGGTCAGCTTGCTTTCTGCACTTCCATAGAAAATTAGTTCTTGGGAGCACAGAAGGGTTCCTTTCCTATATACAATGAAGAGAGTTCTAACGTGTCAGAACAGCTACATGGGAAGTTCGGTTTAGTTCCAGGATATCAGCCAGGAGGGTTGAGCCAGAGACCCAGACTCAGTTTTGCAAAAGCTTCCACAGATGTCATTCCAGCACCAGGCAGGAAGGAAGGCAAAGGGAGCAGAGCCAAAGGTGAAGGCAGTGAGGCCCACAATAGATACTGTCACTTAACTGCTAGTAAGTAAGCATTAGGAGAGTCCTTTCAACATATTGGAGGGGGAAGAGGGAACTACACAAAATCCAGAAGACCACCAAAAGAAGGGTGGTTGAAGGAAAAGGGGCCTACCAGGAGAAGGGGCACAGCCACCTGAGAAACACAAGAGGGTCAGATGAGGCACCATGATATCAGTGTATCATTCTAAAATGTCCTAAGGGATATAGGAACCAGTAAAGTCCTTTTTACCTTCATCTGAATTCTTTAACCATAGTGATAGTGACAACTATTTCTGCAGATTGTGTGTGTCTTTTTGTAGGTATGTTTTTGAGAGTGGTGTGTGTGTGTGTGAGAGAGAGAGAGAGAGAGAGAGTGCACACGCATGGGAAGGCATGCACATCAGCAATAACTTTGCTCATGTGTGCTGATATCGCCACCCACTTTGGGTGGTAGCTCCATCTACTGTAGGCAGGCAGCCCCGATGTCTCAGTTCTGAGCTTTGAAATTAGTTCCTCACTCCTGTCTTAGAAGCTGTAAATTTCGGCATTTGAAAAGTTATATTCAATGAGAGAGTAGGCTCATTTTCTTACATTTCCTAAGCAGAATGGCAGAAGTGGTGTTGCAAAGTGGAAATTGCAGCCTAAAGCTGAAGGAATGATTTTGTAAATCGTTAGCATTGAAATTACAGTGATATTCTGCATGATCTCTGCAGCTGTAATGTTGTGTGTGGACATGGAAAACTCTGGTTCAGAGCTCCAGTTGACGGGAGGCCTTGAGCAAGTCACTAGTTCTCCAATAAAAGCCATTCTCAAGTTATTTCACCATTATCAAGTGGTTTTTACACTGCAAAGTGTTAGAGGACCACTGGTCAATAACACAACAAAGGGATTTGTAAGTGCAGAAGATCTAGAAGTAGGTACCATATTTCTGCCTAAGATGGAAGCGAGTGTGTCCAAATAGTCCTGAATCATCTACATTTGTGCTTTCTTTACACAGTTGGAACTATCCAGCACAGCCATTCTTCATCAGATTCGGAGGGATCAAGTGACAGATACATGCCGAGCCAATAGCATGTCCAGCAGAAAGCGCCGTGTGCTGACACCCAATGACCTCAAACATTTGGTGGTTGATGAGGATCATGAATTGATTTATTGCTATGTACCCAAAGTGGCCTGTACCAACTGGAAGAGAGTCATGATGGTCTTGACTGGGAGGGGCAAATACAGTGATCCAATGGAGATACCAGCCAACAAAGCCCACATCTCATCCAATTTGAAGACACTCAACCAGTACAGCATCCCAGAGATCAACCATCGCTTGAAAAACTACATGAAATTCCTGTTTGTCCGTGAGCCTTTTGAGAGACTGGTTTCAGCCTATAGAAACAAATTCACCCAGAAATACAACACCTCCTTTCACAAGAGATACGGTACCAAAATTGTGAAACGCCAAAGGAAAAATGCAACCCAAGAGGCCCTGCATAAAGGTGATGATGTGAAATTTGAGGAGTTTGTGGCTTATCTCATAGACCCGCACACCCAAAGAGAAGAACCCTTCAATGAACACTGGCAAACTGTCTACTCGCTGTGCCATCCTTGCCACATCCATTATGACCTCATAGGGAAATACGAGACACTTGAAGAGGATTCCAACTATGTTCTTCAGCTTGCAGGAGTAGGAAACTATCTCAAGTTCCCCACCTATGCAAAGTCTACAAGAACTACTGATGAAATGACCACAGAGTTCTTCCAGAACATCAGCGCAGAGCATCAAACACAGCTGTATGAAGTCTACAAACTTGATTTTTTAATGTTCAATTACTCAGTGCCAAGCTATCTGAAGTTGGAATGAGGAGTGGAGAGAAAGAAAGAGAAATATGAAACCTATTTTATTTAAGATTTTTATTTGTCACAATTGCTTATGAAGAATGGGGTTATTTTGTAAGTTAATTTTTTTTTTGAATGATGCTGCGAGCAGCACAGTTGGAAATGTATTATTTAAATTGTCAGTAAGAAAGGACAGCTCTGTTTGAAGGGTAAGAAAATGGTGGTGACTGTAGCTCTAGGGGTGACTAGTAAGTGCTACGCCATGTGGGGAAGAAAAGTGTTGTTTGTATCCTGATGAATTTCTTTTCTTTTGCATTCTTCTTCAATCCTAGCCTTCATGTTATTTATGCTTATTTAAGAACACAATAGATTCCTTGTTAGAAGCTGAAATATGACACTGTATGGACAAAGAAAAATGTTTCCTGTGCTCTCCTTGCTGGAGTTTGCCTCTGTTCCTAACGTCCCTTCATTAATGAATGTTTCACCAGAGATGGATACTGCATCTATCCAAAAATGCTGGATGGGGGCGAGATCAAAGAAACCAGGGTGAGGATGGCTAAACTGAGAAGTATTTTAAAGCCTCCTGATTCTTTGTATCCTAAGACACTCCTCTGTCAGTGATCACACCCCGGTGAAGTCCCAACATTTATCCACTGGGGTGCCATGCCACATATGGATCCTTTGGACTTCAGCTCTTAGAAGTCCCTGCCAGCAGGGCTCATGGTCAGGCATGCTGGGAGTTGAAATCTAAACATGTGGAGATCTACTTTCGGTCCATCCTTGACACAGATTTTTGGCTTAGTGAATGTATTAGCATGTCACACTCGGCTACATCCTGCATTCTAGGCCAGGGGGAGAAGAAGGAGTAGCTTTACTCCTCTCTCAAAGCAGCCAGCCCAGCCCATGTCAGAGACTCCAGAGTGCAGCAGCCAACTCCCAAAACCCACTGGAGGAGGCATGGGCCACTTGTGGCCTGCCAGATGTTTTGGCCTACACTCCCATCAGTCCAATAGTGACGGATGGTGGGAGTTGAAGAAACCTCATTGCTGGAGTTCACCCAATAAAACAGGCACACTTGAGGCCTCTTGGCTTTAACTGATGGCAGTACCAGGTTGTTTAGAAGTGGCACCCTTAGGAACCTGAGATCTTGGGGACAAGAGAACCCTCACTGTTCTTAGAGTTGGTGTTTATTCTTTAGTGGGTACACTTGTACCCACAAGAGGCCTTGCGTCACCTTTCCCGTTTCCTGACATTTTCACACTGCCTTGCACCAGTGCTGTCTCTTGGCCCCTGATGTTTCTGAGCAACAGAATCACATTGTAACAATACCATGTTCTTCAGAACTTTGTGGCCTTCGGAGATGGCACCATCAAAGGTCTAGTGAGGAGAGGTAAAGCACAGCGAACCTTATGCTCTACCCTTCATGCCACAATCTATCCCTGGAATTTGCTCCATAAGAAGGACCAGTCTGTAGATGGCAGAGAGGGTGCTATTAAATGACAGAAGGCCCCTCACTTAGGTGAGTGTTCTCAAACAGTTACACAAGCCCAAATAGTGTGCTGTCGAACCATTTTCTCCCGGTACTATGGTAACGTTGATAACAATCACTTTTGAAGAGTACAATATGATTGTACCATTATCCTTTCAGCTTTGGAAAGGAGACCTGCATTGATTTTTTAAATATGCATGCATAATATTTAAAGTCTGTGACTGAAAGAAATGTGAATATATTTTGTAGAGAGAAACATCTTCAAAACTCTACTTCGCTGGACATGCGGTTCATAGAATTTTTGTCTGTGCTTGGCATTCCCATGTTTGGCATCAAGCTGGATGGATTTGTTGCCATTATAAATGGTACTATTAGGGCTATTATATAGGCTGCAGGATTAGTTGATTAGTTGGACAGAGTGGTCAAAAGATTTTTAATTGCTTAATTAAAAAGGAGTCCCCAGTGAATCAGGCAGCAGATTTTTAGAACATTTTTCACTGATGGGGCCGAGGAAAGCTGTAAATGGAAAACACCAACTTAGGAAGGAGTATTCCTTCATTTACATATATAAGGCTTCTGAGAGGGTGCCTGCATGAGAAGTCCATATATCCCCTAAAATAGTGGTGCAGCTGGTTAATTTTACAAATTGGGCTTAATGGGCACTATCCAATGGGGCATTTATATCCCCAACAATTACTTTGCACCTGGTCAATTCTGTTGTACAAGCAACCATCCACACTTGCCCAGTAGTGATTTAGTGCTTCTGGGCAACCTGAAATAAGCAGAAATGCTAGTTGCTGGAGTAGGGCAGGCCAGGAGAGCTCACAAAAGGAAGCGGAGCAGCCTGTCCCAATCCAGAAATGAGTGTTCTGCTTTTTTCCGGGCTTCTTCTGGGAAGTGCTAAACCTCTGTTATGTAAGCAGTGGGTCCTTCTTGTGCCATGGACTCTGTGGGACACGTTTCTTGCAAAAGGGAATCGGGGTGGAAGTGCTGGGCAGGATTCTTACAAGGGTCCTGCTGCATTTGTTAGCCATGCTGCTCATCTTGGTGATTGGGCCCTAGACTTCTGCCCCAAAGTCTTGTCTAGAAAGCACCACTGCCTAAAAGCATTGGAAGGACGTGGGGGTTTTCTCTGAACCTTGGTTTAGTCATATGATGACTAAAACATGTACAGCAAGCAGATTTAATCAGTTGATCAATTAAAATTATATGTTTAATCACCTAAGATGTACTCAATTTGGCCACAACCCAAACAGGAGTAGTAATATAGCATGTTCAGTGACTAATGAACTGAACATGCTATGTTTTCACCTGAGAGCCCAATTGGAAACATGACAAAGTTAGTCTCTGCTTATGTAATTCAGCTGTACTAAAGGTTAGAGCAGGACATACTTCCCAAACCTAGTGACTTCCCAATTGGTTGGAGTGCAGTTCCCCTCATTCCCAACCAACAGGGCGAGTGGCACTGACAGGCTTAGTCCTTGGTGTCGAAGCCCAGAGCCCCACAAGCCAGTGGGGTCCAAGTGAACACCTAAAGAGTAGCAAGTGATGTTGGCAGCAGGGCAGCTGAAGGAAACTTCATTTTATCCTTGGAACCATGACGGTGCTATGATACAAGTGCATTTAAAATCCAAGCCTGCCCATGCTCAGAATATTTTTTATCAGAGTTGGAGAACAATTATGCTGTTCTTTTTAACGTGTATCAGGAATGTGAAGGAGCAGCTGTAGAGCGTGGGATGGCTATGATGAGGTGAAGAAAAGGAATATGAGCTGTGTGCTTCACAGCCGAAGCAATCCTCATGGCAATGTAAAGGTCGTCAAGCCCAGAGACTGACGTTATCTGGCTGAACCAAAGAGCATGGCCATGGACATGAAGGGCTGGGAAGGACGTGCAGTGCAGTCCAACACATCTGGAGAGGAATCTTGTTATCTGGGGTGGGCTGCACCCCAGCAGGGCCTTCCGACATGACCCCATCCCCGGGACTTTCTCCATTTCACCTCTGCAACCTGCTTGCTCACCTGCCTCTTGCTCTTTGACCCAGGGAGTGGTTGTGGTAAGAGGAGATGCTGCTGGGCGCTTCTCACAGGCTGTCTGCTTGTCCAGCCAGCCAGCAGCAGTGAAGAGACAGAGGAGCAGCAGCGATAGCAGCCAGTGATCCTGGCAGCAAGAAGGCAGATGCCCTGAGCCGGAGGGCCCATGGCAGGCCTCTTGCCCAAAGGCCTCCCCAATCCTGGAACCAGTGTTGCTGGAGCGCACCAGATTGGTGAAGCCTTGACTTGAGCACCAGATTGGATGAAGGCTTGACCTGTTTCCAGGCAAACAAAATCATGCCTGATCTGGCTCCAGGGATACACACGGCAAGAAACTCTCTTCAAGGTTCAGGCTTTGGTAGCAGGATTGGCCTGTGCAGCAGCAGTTGCCCTTGCACTTTGGCTTTTGGGAGGCAGAGACTCCTTTCTCTCTGGCCAAATGTCTATCACAGCAGTCCAGGTCAGAAGCCAGCACAAGCGGCTTCGTTCAGAGAATAGTGCGGCTCTGGCAGAATCCTCCAACCTCCTCCTCCATATGCCAAGGCAGAAGATGTCCCAGAAGCATGCAGCAGGAGTGCAGAGGCCTCTGAAGGGTTGTCCTCTTGGGTCAATAACAGTGCTTTGTCTTGGCATCATCTGGCCAAGGGGGAGCCCATCAGCACTCACGAGGTGTGTACAGTGGCAGCCTGACAGGAGAAATTCACCAATCCTACTCAGTGGGAAAGCAGGGGAATTCACCCTGGGTGAGCCCTCCCTGGCCTGGTGCCCTCCACATATTTTGTCATTTCGCCAGTGGCTCTTCAGTGCCCATTCCAGGTTCTGGGTGGCCGGTGGGCATGAGGCTCTCATGACCATTGTTGTCCCTGTGCGTTGGTTTGCTTCTCCTTCCGGGACCCATAGTCTCCACCTTCACTGCTCACTTGCTCAGAGAGGGTCACACAGCAAGGAACGAGGAGCAGCAGAACTCAGGTGGCCATGGCAATACACAACTGTGCTGTGTTCTCATGGTACACACACACTCTCTCTTTGTGGAACTGGGTTGGCGTGGTTCTAAAAAATAATACGAAATGAGAAAAAAAAAACTTGCCGCTGAGTGAGGAAAGTCAGCCCGGCACACAGAAGGGAGCTTCTGTCCCAATCCAGAAACAAGCATTTTCACTCCTTTCTGAGACAATTTTTAGAAGTGCAAGTCCAGTTGCACAATCAGAGGGTGCTGCTCATGCAAGAGAACCAGTGGAGATGGAACATCTCTGTTGATACTGCTCCATGTGTCCTGTCTTACATAGAAGACAGTCCTCTAGTTGAAGGACTGCCTAATACAAATCCAGTTTAATTAAAAGGAAGAGTGACTGGGTTCTTAAAATCACCCATCACCACTGAGCACCCAGACAGCAGCCTAGGTAGACATACAGGTCACCTGGTCACGCTCTTCACATTACAGTGAAGTGTCTATTTAAATTAGAGTAATCAATCTACATTTGTATCTACACATATAAATTAACATCTGCAAATGTTGTGCAAATCTGTCGCTCCTCTTGTCTTCTTTCTTCAGTGATGGATTTCCTTTCTGGCAACGTGTACCTGCCCCCATTAAGCATCACTGGGAGCCTCCAGGGCCTGGCAGGGGATCCCCTTGATCTATCAGTCGATCAATCCATAATGTTGGCCCAAGTGCATTAATTATCCTATTAGGTGATGCTAAGCCTTCAGATATGCTTAAAGTAGTTCTCACTGGATCCTGAGACTCTCCTGAATCTTTTACTGAAGCAGCCACATTTTGAAAGACAATCACATAATTTGGAGTGGTTTGCATATTATATTGTATGGACAAGTTCCGCACCACTTCAAAAAAAATAAATAAAAAAGTGTGCTGAGCATGCCTTGTTAATACAGCTA